GGGCTGCCCGAGTCTCCCCTGCTCAAAACGCTGGAGCTCAGTGGCATTTTTCGCCTTCATCACCATCATCATCATCAGCTGGATATTTAGTGAGGCAATTGTGGGTTAAGTACCTTGCCCAAGGGTACAGCAGCTGTGCCCCAGCAGGGAATCAAACCAGCAACCTTTTGGTTACGAGTCCTGCTCCTTAACCACTATACTACACTGCCGTCCCAACCATTCACAAAGTCAGTTCACTCTAACCCTACCACATGTCGGCAAGTCAGAACGACACGGTACAGGGACTTTTAACTGTAGGTAGGAGGAGCCTATATTTACCATTAAGTAAGAGTTCTGCGTATCTGCCAGTCATGCTGGTTTGCTTTAAAGAGAGCCTGAGAAGCTGCAGAGAGCATGTATGGGAGAGCTCGGCAAACACGAGGGGATAATAACCGTCCTTCAGTGAGCACCAATCGACAGGCACTGTTCGGTGTCCGCAGACGTATCACTTACAGACACAATGAGAGTGCTGCCCTGTGCTGAGTGCAGATGTGCAAAGGCCCCGCGGGGCCCATTGTCTGAGGATCTCCGCGTCACGAAAAACAACCTTTGATCGCCCTGGCCGCGCTCGGAACAGCTGATAGTAATAATAACCCCCCCACAAACCACATTAGAGGAAGCCAAAAAAACAATAAAGACTTGAAAGAAAATTAATCAATAAAAGTTGACATTTGTTATGCCGGAATAATAATGACTCTATTAAATGAGAGAGAAAAAAAAATGAATGAGGCATTTGCCACATTAGCGCTTTTGTTTCCAGCGTGAGTCTGAGTTGTGCGTTCTGGGCATAATGGCTTTCGTACTTTATGTAGGAGCGAAACGAGATGCTACACAAAGAGCAATGTTGTACCCGCTCCTGTCCTTGTACTGAGAGCTACACTTAATGCACTGTACTGCCAGCACGGCCTGCTGATTATTTAATGATCATGTGCTCTGGTTTGGCCTTTGACCGTGTCCTTGATCTGTCCTTGCAGGCCTGTTCTGGTGACGGAGGCATCATGAAGCCCCTCCTCCCCCTCCTGCTGCCCCTCCTCCTCCTCCCTGATTGGACGCTTGCCAGCGACTGCCCGAAGGACTGCATGTGCACCTCCCCCAACGCCATCTTCTGCTACCAGCGCCGCTCCCCGTCCATGCCCCGGGGCCTGCCCGCCTCCACCACCAACCTCTACCTCTTCCAGAACGGCATCGAGACCCTGGCCGCCGAGGACTTCTCCGGGCTGGACAGCCTGGAGATGCTGGACCTGAGCCAGAACAAGCTGACCGAGCTGCCGGACCGGGTCTTCGAGCCCCTGTCCGAGCTGCGCAACCTGGACCTGTCCAACAACCAGATCGAGCACGTGTCCCAGGCCAGCTTCTCCGGGCTGGTCCTGCTGGAGCGCCTCTATCTCTATAGCAACCGCATCCAGAGCATCCACCCGGCGGCCTTCGACGGGCTGAAGCAGCTGCTGGAGCTGAAGCTGCAGGGGAACCAGCTGACGGCGCTTCCCGCCCTCCGCCTGCCCAAGCTCCTCCTCCTGGACCTCAGCTACAACGCCATCCCCCCGCCCGGCCCCTCCGACTTCCACACGCCCAACCTGGAGTCGCTCAAGATGGCCGGGCTGGGGCTGGGCGACCTGGACCAGGAGCTGATGGGTGGCCTGGGGAACCTGCACGACCTGGACCTCTCCCAGAACCAGCTGCGGGCCGTGCCGGCGGCGCTGAGGGAGATGAGGGGTCTGATCCGGCTCGGGCTGGCCGGGAACCCCGTGGGCCAGCTGCGGCCGGAGGACCTGCAGAACCTGGAGGAGCTGCAGGAGCTGGACATCAGCAACCTCAACCTGCAGGGCTTCCCCGAGGGCTTCGCCCGGCTGCTGCCCCACCTCCAGCAGCTGACGGCGGCGGAGAACCCCTTCAACTGCCTGTGCTCGCTGGCCTGGTTCCCCGGCTGGCTGCGGCAGGCCAACGTGCAGCTGGGCCGCACCAAGGAGACGCGCTGCCACTTCCCGCCGCTCAACGCCGGCAAGGTGCTGGAGAAGCTGGAGCACAGGGACTTCGGCTGCCCCACCACCACCACCGTCACCACCAGCACGGCGGCCAACAGCACCCCCGACCCCCGCTCGTCACCACGCCGCCCGGCACCACGCCGCCCGCCGTAGCCCCACCCCCTCCCAGCGACGCCCCGCCCGCGGAGGCCGACAGCGACCCGCCCCCCGCAGTCCCCGCCTCCCCCAGCAGCAGCAGCGCCGACCCCGACCCCGAGACCAACTTCTGCCCCGCCAGCATCTGCCTGAACGGCGGCACCTGTCACCTGGACCGGCAGGGGGAGGTGGCGTGCACCTGCCCCCGCGGGACCTCCGGCCGCTACTGCCAGAACCAGGACGAGCCCCCGCCGCCGCCGCCTCTGCCCCCGGAGGTCTCCACGGCGACGGTAGCCGCGGCGCCCGACATCAGCTCCCGCCACGTCACCAGCACCTCCATCCTGCTGGACCTGCACGGCTACATCCGGACGCGGCCGCACCTGCGCGGGATCCGGCTCACCTACCGGAACCTCTCCGGGCCCGACCGGCGGCCCGTGCACCTGAGCGTGCCGGCCTCGTACCCGGAGTACACCCTGCGCGGGCTCCGCCCCAACTCCACCTACTCCGTGTGCGCCAGCCCCCTGTGGGAGCCGGCCGAGCGGGACAGCTCGTGCACCGAGGCGCGCACGGCCGGAGCCCAGCACGCCGCCACCGAGGCGCAGGTGAAGGACCACCGCCTCACCAGCACGCTGGCGCCCACGCTGGCCGTCGCCATCCTGCTGGTGGCGGCCGCCGCCGTGGTGGGCGCCGTCTGCTACCTGCGCAGGAAAAGGGCCAAGGGCCACATAGACTTGGGCTGCGACGAACCCCTGCCGCTGGAGCTGGAGGGGGTCAAGGCATGCCTGGACAACGGGGCGCTGCCCCAAAAGCAGCCTGAATCGGGGCTGTCGCCTTCCCCCTCCGCCGTCCACAACAGCCTCGAGTACGAGGTCCCGCTCATGCAGACGCAGTGCACCGCCAACAACAACATGGCCGCCGTGAAGCCGTCTTACTTCTGACCTCTGCCGCCATGTCATTCAGACCTCCCGCCACTAGGAGGAGCTCTGGCCCCCCACAGGTAGAGAGGACAGACGCTGAGACTGTGGTGGTGGGGGAGGGACAAAACAGCTGGCTGAGTTAACAGTTGAAAAACTGAGCAATCGCTTAGCTCGTTCATGTGCAATCAAAATTGCCCGACGGAGATTTTTTTTTCTAAAGGATTTTTATGAGGGCAACAGCCGAAGTGCCTTGGCTCACATTTACACACGTTCTACTTATTGTTATGATGCATTTTTTTTTTTTGTTGTTGTTGTTTCTGCAATCGTATTGCTGGACCGGCACATGCGCCGGCTCTCCACGGCAACCGGGGAGCACGAGGGGCGGAGGTGCATCAGGTGCACCTGCGCAGCTAAAAAAACGGCACTCCGAACTTCCTGTCCGGGAGAAACTTGCACTGAAGGCTGGGCCTCGGCTGATTGGCCTCCGGCGATGGCTGAAATATTTAAGTCGCATAAGAAACACTTGTTCGGCAGCACTTCTGCGCTGACCCTGAGAAAGCCTTAGTTGCTGTGAAAGACGCCGATGTAAGCGAACAAAGCTTTGGACTTAGGCAGAGGGCAACCAAGGCCAGCTCTGGCAGAGCTTTGTTCAGCGCTAGCGCTATGTGAAGGCTACATTTTTGTGTTCATATATTTTGTTCTGTAGCATTTTTTTTAAGACGTGACGGTTACCAGCTCTCTCCCTCCCTCTCTCCTTCCCTTCCCCCCCTTCTTTTTTTTACCAATGGCAGACACAACACAAGGCTAAAATCTTTGAAGATTAAAAACTTTCTTGTAGCACCAAGTCAATCAAAGACTTTACTCTTCAAGTGTTAGACTGTCTGAGTAGCAGTAAGACTGTGCAGACTTGAAACAATCTCCGCCTCCAACACACACACACACACACACACACACACACACACTCTCTCACACTCACTCTCTCACACTCACACATACACACGGACACACACATATGCGCGCACACACACACGCACACACTCCCTCTCTCTCACACTCACTCACACACACACACACACACACACACACACACACACATACACACACACTACAGCCTTTACCCCCCTACCCTCCACCCCCACCAAAAATAATACCAGATAGCCAAGACTACCACAGCTACAAAAGGAGGCGGGTGACTGAAATCCCCAATCTTTTTATGTCCTGCTGTAAGCCTGTAAGCCCTTCAGCCACACACTCGCAGGGCTATACAGGAGGAATGCAGAATAAAAAAGAGAAACTTTTCAAAGACTTTATTTATTGTTTGTGCTGCTGAGTGGAATGCAGTTATTTCCTAAACCGCAATTCACAAGGAGAAAGGCTCGCTGCCGTCACAGAGGTGGCCGCGGTGCGTTTTCCCCGAGCGAAACGCCGCTCTCTCTCTCTCTCTCTCTGCGCGCTGCTGTGCTCCATTAACTTCTCTGGTCGCGAGGCCTGGAAACTCAGCCCCAAACTCGTCTGAGGCCCAAACCGACTCTTCGGAAAGAGTCCAGATGTAACGTATACTTTCTGTGTGTTTATACTCTCCCTTCTGTCGCCTGGAGCTGAGAAAAAGGCGAAGGAAAAAGGGCCGCGGTATGGGGAAGGCAAACAGGGAATAAAACAGATTATCTTTCAGGCGTCCGGCGCAAACACGCCCCTAATTCTCAGCCTGCTGCCCTGCACTGTGAGCACCGCGTCAGGGGCGATCCCATCTACCCGTCTCTCCTCTTCTGAGGAGACGTTCTCTCATCACATTACATTATTGGCATTTAGCAGACGCTCTTATCCAGAGCGACTTAAATCGGTTACAGGTTTTTACAATGCTATCCATTTATACAGCTGGGTATTTACTGAGGCAATTGGGGGTTAAGTACCTTGCCCAAGGGTACAGCAGCAGTGCCCCAGTGGGGAATCGAACCGGCAACTGGGTTACGAGTCCTGCTCCTTAACCACTATGCTACACTGCCACTCTCACGAGGAGCAATCCCCCTCTTGCCCCACCTTCCCGTGCGCATGTAGCCTGCCTTTGAACAACAGCTACAAACAGAACGCGTTTGTGATGAGGGCACCAGGGTCACGGGTAGCCCCCTGGGTTCCTGACCTGCACGACCGACTGGGAGAGTGAACTTCAGCAGCGTGGTGTAGTGCTGGAGCGGGCTCTGACAGAGGGGCGTAGAAATTAGGAAGTGGGGCTCTGAGGAGAGGTCACCCCCCCACGGAGTGCGGGCGCAGAGAGCAAGAGGTGTGAGGGGGGGTGAGAGAAGGGGGGGCAGCTAATCACGCTCACCGTCCGTGGGGAGATGTGTGACTCTCCCTTCTCTCGCCCTGATGTTCCGGCACGTTCATCTGCTAACTGTTGACTCTATCCCTGACTCTCTCTCTCTTTTCCTCCTTGGTCTTTCTCCACAAGCACCTTCATTCTTCACTTTAACGTTGTAAAGTGCTAAAAAGATTAAGGGAATATCAGATTGTAGAAAAGAACCACCGAACAAAACAACAACAGCAGCAGCGAAACACTTGAACTGGAATCCGTAGCCTTACAGCATGAGGGATTGAAAATATTTGTAATATTTTCAATGTGATTTTCATTTTTCCCTGTTTATTTTGGGAAATTATACTTTTATTTGTCTATTTGTCCTTTTTGTCTTTTTAGAGGAAAAAGTGTACTTGTTTGTAAGAAAAAAAACATGATGGCATTTTATAAAAGCAATTAAATAACGATGAAAAATAAAAAATAATAAAAACGAAAGAAAACAAACAAGGTCTTCTGAGTTTTCTTTTTGTTTTGTGTGTGTATTTTTTTCCCCTGTTGGCGGATGTTCAGGTTGGCAGCAGAGACCGCGAGGAAGGCTGCCATCTATAATATGATCCATCCCCTCTTTTAACAGATCACTCCGAAACTCAGAGCAAACGGGCCAGAGCGGGTCAACACAGGAAAGAGCAGTGATACATCCGTCAGTCTGTCAGTCCATCAGTCCGTCAGCCCGTCTCTCAGGACCGATTTCTCAGATACAGACCCATTTGTGACGGCGCTAGTTGGCTGCCCTATCCCAAAAACAATGCCCCCCCCCCTTTTTTCCACGGAGCGAGGGGTCGGTTCCATCAGAGCTGGGTGGGTGGGAGAGGGGGTACACAAGGTCTTCCAGGCCCCACCCCCACAAAACACACACACACACACAGACCTCCCTCCAAAGCAAACTTTTATGAGACTTTTCCAGTTTTCGGAGAGAGTGAGCCGCCTCGTATTTTCCCGTTAATTGCGAAAGCCGGAGGGCGGGCGGAAAGCGGGGAATGGGCAGTGGAGAGAAACCCCCGCAGGCTCTCCCCCCTCTCTCCCCCTCTCTCTCTCTCTCTCTCTCTGTCTCTCTCTCTCTCTCCCCTCTCCCTCTCTCCCTCTCTCTCTCTCTCTCTCTCTCTCTCTCCCCCCAGCTGCTGCTGTCACTGACCCAGACACAACGAGCCCCTGCCATCGCCACTACGCGAATGCACACCGGCCAGCACCACCCACACGGTTTTTACAGGTAGAGGCCGGGCGGGGGTCTCCGTGGAAACGCCCTCCCGCTCTGCTGGGATGTGAGCAATCGCGGCTGGCCCCGGTACAGCCGCCCAGCTGCACCCTGTTACGAGCAACACGCAGCTGAACAACACAAACACATAAAGAAAAACACGAGCCGTTCAGCTTGTACCGGGCCAAAAAGGGCCTGTTTAATGAGCGAATCAATGCAGGCGTGGCGTACCCCACTCTCCCTGCCACACTCTCCCTTCCTGTCCCCCCTCTCTCTCTCTTTCTGTCTCGCTCTCATCCATCCTGACTCCCTCTCTATCTCTGCTTACCCCCTTTCTCAATCTTCCTCTCTACCTCTCCTTCCCTCTCTCTGCCCTCTCTCTCCTCTTTCTTAAACAAAGGATCCCGGAGAGGCGTCTGGAGAATGGGACTCTCACCCGACCCACAGGCAGTGTGTGTGTCCCGCCGGAACGACACCTCAGCCGGCCGCTCCCTCCAACGTGGGGGCAGCGTTTTACGGCCATTAAAACAGCGGGGGATTTGCATGTGGCTGGAGGAAGGCAGACATTCACACGCAGGCAGGGACAAACGCAATACAGCGACGCTGGAAAGGAAACAAAGCTGTAACACGACGGCTGACTTATCTGGCTGCGGAGGACGGAGTGGCAGGCGTGCGGTCTCCTGCATCCGTGCAAAACTGCGCAGGACTAAGCAGGTCCGCGCAGCACTGCGCAACGCTGCGCAAACGCACACAGTCACTGTGTGGCTGTGTGGCTGGCCCTCCGTGTGTGAGACCGTGTGACTGTGTGCGACTGCCCACAGTGTGTGTGTTTTGTGTTTCTTTCTCTCATTTTTGCTTTCAATAAAAAAAGGGCCCTTTTATTCCCTGGATTTAAGAGACCTGGCTTCTGGCCCCTGGCCAGGCATGCCGCTCAAGCTGAGAGCTCCTCAAAGGGCCCATTGTAGCTCTGAGGGCAGACTTTTTAAATTAACATCCCAAATTCCTCTAAAAATTACTGCTGAGGAAATATTTTTGCTACTCGTTTCTTTTTTTTTTTTTTTTTTTGAAGGGGGTTGGGGGTTGTTCTGCCAAGGACAATGTGCTAAAAAACAGACACGTGTGGCTCTTAGCTGCTGTCAGCCACGTCTCTTTCTCTCCCCTTCCCTTTTTCATCTCAGAAACGTTCCGATTTCGCTGCTTTATGACATTTTCCCCCTTTTGGTACGAGCCCAAGCAGCCCCCATCACCACCCCCCACCCCAAAAACCGTCCCACCTCCACGTTTCTTACTCTAAGCTCTAGCATGATGTTGGCTGGCCAGCAATATCACAGCAATAACTCACTCATTTAGACTGCAACCTAGCGCCGTGTGCTTCGCACTCATCTTGATGCTATTCGCTGATAACAAACTAATTAAGGATTGTATTAAATCAATACAGACTCAGCTCCAGATGTGATTGCTGAGCAACATCCCTAAGTGGGTCAAATACTTGCATCACAATCCACCTCCGCTCTGCTCCAGCAAGCAGGAAAACCAAGACTTCTGCTGGTTACTGAAACCAAATGACCGGGCTCCAATGACCGCTCTGACTCCACAACCAAATATTGCTATTGGAAAAGTAGACAGTCTTCTAATACCGGCCCCAGGGAGCCTAGCATTTGACCTTTACAAAACGCAGGGCAGCTGAAATGAGCTACAGTGCACATAAATAAATTTGAATGCGCATGGATGATATTCACCTCCGGATTCTAACGAACCACCTCAGCACGGACTAGCGAGAGGGGACTTTTCCCGGCTTGTTTGCTCTGGAGCCGGGGGATGTTGGTTGTACCCGAGCTTCGCCATGAGGCTCGATCCTCCCTGTTTGTGCAGCAGGGCCCAGCCCTCTGATGTGGGCTCAGTGCGACGGCGTCCTGGAAGCCCAACCAGAAATTTGCGGAGAGGAGAAAAAGAGAGAGGTCCTTATTTTTTTGGGGGTTTTTGGAGGAGTCTGTATCTGTAAATGGAATATGCGCCCCCCCCCTCCATTTTTCCAGCTCTTGCAATAAAAATACAATATTGTTATGAGAGCTGGGTGGCGGTGTGCCACTGGTTCTCCTCGTAGCGGCATGGGGGTGTGTGTGTGTGTGTGTGTGTGTGTGGGGGGTCCAGGCTCCATGGATCAGTGCAGGAGCTGGCAGTGGGACACTACAGAGGCCTGTTAGGACAGCAGGTCTGAGGGGGGAGGTGGAGATGGGGGTGTGGGGGTGTGTGTTCTGTTTTTATAGGTTTTCCCCATAATAAAGTACAGCGCTGACTTATTTCGCAAGCAGTTCAAACGCTAATTAAGTATAAAACAAACAAAAGCATTATTTCCCCCCACCCCCAACACACACCCCCCCCACCCCGCTCTCTGGCCCCGCTGTCGATCTGCCGCAGAGCGCCCGCTGGAAACGGGTGCGAGGGCCAGCACGTGGTTGTGGCAACCGTGACGACCGGAGGGGCGCATGCCATCGTTCAGAGGGTGGGACGGAGGGCCAAGGATGGGGGGCCCTCACTCAAGGGAGGAAGAGAGAGAGAGAGAGAGAAAGAGGGGGTGCAATGCCAGGACACGTGCATCGAAACCCCACAGTCTTTTTTAGGAGGACGGCCATTGCGTTTTAAAATGGAGGGAAGGGGTAAGGGGGTGAGGGGGCGAGAGGGCGAGGTAGTGAGGGGGCCAGTGGGTGGGTTGGGCTGGGTTATGTGCAGAGGGCTGAATTACAGAGCATCTAAATGGAACTGAACAGCCTGTCACCCTGGAAAACACTCCAAATGTGGTTCTCATTTGGGAGGAATGGAGGGTGGGGGGCTGTGTGTGTGTGTGTGTGTGTGTGTGTGTGTTTGGGGGTTGTTGAGGGAGAGAAGAATTTTATTTATTTGAAAAAAAAAAAAATCTGGCATTAATGCGACAGAGGGAGATGGTTGGGACAGAGTAGGAGGGATGAGGGTTTGGGGGGTTTGAAATCCAAGAGGAGACAGATGGAGGAGGGCGATAGTGACTCCCGGGGCCTGGTCCGCACCTCCAGCCACACAGCTGGGCTCAATCAGCCTCCGCTGGCAGAGAGCGGTAAGGCTGATACCTTGTTACTTCCGCCACTCTCACCGGCCAGTGTTCGGGGCCTTCTCTCCAGGTTACTGCTCTTTGTTTGTTTGTTTGTTTGTGTATCTGTTGCTGCCTGACTGCTTCGTTACTCTGCCTCACTGATAAAGACGGAGTATCAGGCCTCTGGTAAATTACCAGCCATTATCACAGGGGAAAACCATTCCAGCACAAAAAAAAGAGATAATCGCCCCCCACTGCTGCCAATGGGAGAGGTATGGCATCTCTCACGAGCTGGGAAGGGTTCGTCTTGGCCCTTTTCGACAGGTTTCGAAACCATCTGGCCCTTAAATCTTCCGATACACCAAAACTGACACATTATGGGATAGCACCTGGAGAG